GATAATATTTCTCAATATCATTAATCATGTTTAGATTCTAATAGTTATTCTATGTTTTGATAGCATTTTATATTTTTTTTAATTATTATGTAAATGTGTGGGTAGATTGTATGACGTAGGGCATTATGGCATATTTATATAAAGTTTTTTATGTATATATGTTTTTTAATATATACATTTCTCATATGTGTATATATATTGTTGATATATATATATTTTATTTTTTCTCTAGTGTTTTTTAAAATAATTTTTTTTGTAAAATAATTTTTTATTTATGGGTATCATTTTAATACATTCCCAGAGAGATTGATTATTCATGTATCGTTTTTAATTAAAAGGTTATCCCTCTAGTTTGTTTTTCCCCTAGTGATGCGGATGGACTATTTATTTATGTATAATATTATTCAGCAGTATTTAGCATTCAGTCCCCCTATAATAGTCTCCTGTTAGGAGATTCTCCCATTGATTTTATGTTGTAGTATGCGGCAGGCTAGGCGATAGGAGGGTGACGGGAAAATGGCCGCCGTTGTTAATGTGAGAGGTAGTCGGGAAAATGGCGTGGGTACTGTGGAGTGTATGAGAGGCGGGCCTCCAGCGATGCTATTACATTGGGTCCGATATAAAGGGAGGAACTACGCTCGTAGGGTATTACCACCCAGATGAAGTCACGAGTAGACAGTGACGTAACGCGTAGGTACGCGAGTCCGTAGTTCCGGTGCGTGGTGACGCATTTCCGGCGTGAGACGCCATCTTGCTACACCCGAGAGGTCCCATTCGCATGCAGTTAAGTACACCCACACATCAGTGAGGAGGGAGAATGTCTGCAATGTGAGTGTAACCCCTTTTTTTACTCTTTGGAAATAAACACAAGTAATTTAATACTACACACTTAGAGAGTTTCTTTTTGGCTCACCGGTTTGGTGAGCTACTACTACTCCCCAGGACTGCCCTGACTGACTGGGGGCTCTGTGGGAATCCTGCTGAGGAGATCCAAGAAAGAAAGGAAGCTGCTGGCCTTTACAATTTAAGGATCCAGGTGATTCCTGCATGCCTGTTGGCCCTTCGGGGTCAGTAGGAGGAGGTGAGGAGGCATTTTAGCCATACACGGAAGGATTTTTGGACACAGTCACAGTTTTATCCATCATCACAGATGCACATCGCATTGAATATAAATATTTTTTTTCACTAATAGGACATTGTTCTTGATTTTAACACTTATGTGGTTTTATTTGTGTGGCACTGTGTGAGCACTGTTAGAGTTTTTTTTTTCCTTATTGGACATTTTCTTGAAGCAATACTCATTAATTTATCACAATGTATTTATGGTCATGGGTTTGGCACTGCAGATTTCAGTATTTTTGCTCAAGGGATGTAAGAGCAAGCAGATATACTGACTGGAAGAATGAACTAACACTGCGCTGTGAAGGACCACAATTTGACAGCCGTTAAGGCTGTTGTTTTTTTCCCCTTGGCATGTTGCATTAGTTTTGAGCGCTGCACTATTTTAAAAAAAAAAGGTTGGCACTTAACATTTCGTAGCTTTCAAAAGGATTGGGGCACTAGTATTGTAACATCACCTGAATATGTGTTTTGTTTGTCATTTGAATTAACTTTTAAAGCGCTGCACTTTGTTTAAAATTTATTCACACTGAATTTGGGTATACTTTCACGCTTTTTTAAGTGCTAGCAGTACTTTTCGATAAATTTTAACTAGGTCCATTGCTGTAAGCGCAAAGAGGTTATTTCCAGATAACATAGCTGTGTGGATAGCCTACGTCAAAATCAAATTAAATTACATGAAAGGTGGACACTGCTTAGCAGAATACATTTGTATTCACAAAGCAATTAGTCAGAATCATCTTTCACTAATTGGAATATCTTGAAAAGCTTTTAATGTTTTCTAACTGAAATCTTCTGTTGCATATCAGCATACAATGTATATGACAACTCTATGGGTCTTCCTGTAGAAGTGCATTCAACCCACTGCTCTACCCCCAGGCTGCTTTTAAGACCACTTGTATCTATACCCTAAAACACAGCAGTCTATGTTTAGATGATGTTCTATGTGTCCACTATCGCAAACAGCAAGCCAGCACTAATATAGTGTTTTCACAACACCAAAACAATAAAAAATTGATAACTAACCAGTGTAGTGTTATGTAAAAAAGTACTACTAAAATAATATAGAAATATACCAGTGCTGTAACACACAATCCAACGTGTAATATTTGCAGGGAAACGCAAGTGCATAAATTCACATTACATACCTATGTGATATTCAAATGAATGAACAAAGTGCAGCAATAGAAATAGATATACATAAATAAATCTATATCGCATACCAATGACGCAGATAAAAACACGAAGTGCAACCATAATAATGATAATAGTAAAGTTAATAAAATATAATAAAGTTCATAAAGAGTCCATTTATATTCAATAAATCCCCCAGTGAGCTTTTATGTGATGTTCTCATGCAACTTGATTATGTGAGGTGCAAATTATCTCCACAACATGGCAAACTATTCTGCTCACCTGGAGTATTTACCATTGAAGTCAACACTCTGACCAGGAGTAGGCTGAGTCACCATCTAGGAACGCTATTGTGATATTTTGCTGCGCTTTTAGTTTTGGCTCCTTGCAAGTGTTTTCCGTTTCAATATTTTTATTAAGAAAGTTTTGTTTTAAGAATACAAGAAGCTCAAGATACGCCCACGCAGGGGCACTTGCAAGTGTTTTCAATCTGCTTTTGGGCATTTTAATAAAGAATACACAGTGGCGGCACAGTGGCTAGCAGCACGTCTGCCTTGCAGTAAATGGGTCATGGGTTCGATTCCCGACCATGGCGCCTCCTGCATGGAGTTTGCATGTTCTCCCTGTGCTTGCGTGGGTTTCCTTCGGGTGCTCGGTTTCCTCCCATCATTCCTCTCTGTCATTGCCAACAAAGGATATATAACAAAGTATTGAGATGAATATTGACCAAATACTTATTTTCCACCATAATTTGCAAATAAATTATTTCCAAATCAGCCAATGTGATTGTCTGGATTTTTTTTCTCATTTTGTCTCTCATAGTTGAGGTCTACCTATGATGCCAATTACAGGCCTCTCTCATCTTTTTAAGTGGGAGAACTTGCACAATTGGTGGCTGACTAAATACTTTTTTGCCCCACTGTAAATGACTCAGATCATCAAACAAATTTTAATATTACACGAAGATATCCGGAGTAAATACAAAATGCAGTTTTTAAATGATGATTTCATTTATTAAGGGAAAAAAAGCTATCCAAACCTTCCTGGCCCTATGTGGAAAAAGTATTTTAAGTAATATTTATTTTATAGTTAGAAAGGAAGTTAAAATCTGGAATTTTCATATAACTGAAGTGAGTGATGGAAATAGAAGAAAGCATGCGTAAAGAGAAAATTAATGTAGACATAACATCTTAGAAATGGCAAGCTACAATATAACAAATGTTTGCTTTTGGGTTTAACACTGCTTTAACTCTTTACGGGGATAGAGCTGTATAGACCTCCTACCAGGAAAAAGAACACACTGCTAAAGATGTAAAGCCAGAGTGTTTAACCCTTTATGGGAATCAAGCTGTATATACTCAAGTTTCACAAGTAATTTCTCAAATAATTTTCATGAGCAGGAGAAATGTAGAGCTTTGCTCCTTTGAATGCTGGTCTTGCCAAATGTAAATTAGGCAGTTTTGATATACAGATTTATTTCTTTTTTTTACATGTTCCAGAGCAGATAGAATATTGTAGATAAGCGTAGATTGTCGATGCATCTATGTGGGAAATAAGTGTCAAACTGAAGTAACCTCCCAGAACCAGGAGGTTATGACGGCATATACAGTTTCTGGGAAAACATTGTCTGATAAGCACTAACATGGTCGACATGGTCAACTGACAGAAAGAGACAAAAGTATATTGTACAGGATTGTGACCTAGAATAAAAAAACAACTGCTGCAAGAGTGACTGCAGAGCTCAATCTCAGTCTTGTGAAGACTGAGATTGAGCTCTGCAGTCACTTTTGCAGAAGTTTTCTGTCGCCAACAAAGGTTTCAGCAGGTGCCGCACATCCAGCAGGAGAGATCATGGAGAATCTGAATCTCTGTCCTGTCGAAGGAAACACTTACCTGTTGCCACACTAGCTGTAGAACCTCTTCATTCAATGCATAATAGTGCACGCAGCAAAGGATATGTTTTGGGTAAATGGAAAAGGGATTCCTCAGCCTGTGCTTCAGATCTGAGTTGACGATGGCTTTTCTCGCTCTCTTACAGTTGCGACTGGATTTAGGAAAAAGACATAGCATTTCCAGTGAAATTAGATGCTCAGAAGTGGCCTGTTGAGTGTTCTCAAAAGAGAAGAGTTTTTCGTCTATGTCGGAGATTTTTTTACATTGTTTAGTTCAAACCTGAAATTGGACCCGATTCTTGTGACTAGGCATTCTATTTCTGTTCTAGTCAGGAAGAGACCGAATGAAGGTGCAAAGGTCAGTCTTCTCTCCTGCCCAAGATGCTGAGAAAAAACACAAAGAGTCCAATCCAATGAGAGATTCCACAAGGAAGGAGTTGGAACAGGGTCAGAGACTGAAGGTATGCTTGCTCCTTGATGCAGTGTGGTGGGGAAACTGCACAAGCATGTATTTTCATCCTGCTCCAACAGCTGTTGCAGAGTATTTTGCTTGCAGTTGCAGAAGAGCAATTTCCAAGGGGCTGGGGGGGGTGGCGTCAGAAGATTGGGAGGTAGAAACGGCAAAAAAAGCTGTGAATGTCTGACTGCCAGGTCGACTTAGACGATCCTGCTTTCCTCCTCTTTTTAGTCATATGCCAAGTGTAGCTCAGATAGGGTTAGTAATGAGATTTGTCTCCCTCACAGTGCAGAGCTTAAACAGGTTACCTTTTTACTTCTCCATAGCTGTGCTAAATTCAAATAATTACAGCAAAAGTGTGCCCATTTATAGTTATTCAAAGCTTATTATTCACTTACCCAATACATCCTTCTCATGCTCCAGAACAAGTTCTTTCCACCTGGATTCCACAGGGTCACTGAAGTCTATGTTAATTAGCTTGTATTTTGGGGCATTACGGTTGGTCTTAAATGTGAAGACAGTTCCTTCATTTGTGATATAATCATATTCTGCATCAAAGTTATCTATGAGCTTTTCCCAAGGAAGAATACCTGTAAAAAACAATTCAATTCTATGTTTAAATAATGTATTCAAAATCTATTCCACAACACATAAGACTAGACATTCTGTCACGAGTGCCATTATGATGACTGGCAGAAGGGCCAACGCTTTACAGAGAACACCGAGTTGCCCTTAAAAGAGAGACATCTAAGTTGTGACGCACTGACATCTTTCTTTTAAACCTTGTATCTGTCACAATGTGAACTGGCTGCTAGACAAAAAAGAAATAATTTGAGAACAGTGATGAACTGAACTTGTCTCTGAATAAATTAATTCCAGCTATGAACAAGACATTTTAGTTGACAGAAATGGGGAAAAAACTGTTGGGTTTTGTAGTGCAATGGGATTTAAAGTACAACTCCAGCCAAAACATTTTTTTTTGCTTTGGATAAAGTGGCAAAAGGCTAGAGCCTCTGTCAGTTTTTTTTTTTCATTGCTGTCTGTACATCGGTTGGGAAGATTTCCCTGCACTTTCAGTTGGGGCAGAAGGTGAATTAAATGTCTCCAGTTAGTGGAGTAGGGATGGGTTACAATACCTGAAAATGTTCTCAATGTTATTTGTGTCTTGCAGTCACTGACAACTACTCTCTCCATTTCAAAAAGCAAAGAAAAGAAAAAAAGCATAGTGGGGCTGTGCTGGGGTGGGTAGAGATCGTTTAAATAATGATATAATTGTAAACCTGTCCATTAGGTAAAAATTGAGTCACAAGGCAGCAGGAAAATGAAGAAGTGTTTATATTTCAAATCATATTTGCAAGATCAACAGACGTTCCTCCCAAAACACTCACAGAGGTGTCCTTTTATCATGCAGTGGTAAATGACCGGTGCTCGGTTCTCTGGCATTCTCAGAGGATCAATTCTCCTCTGAATGCCTTTTTATGAAGCGGTGTAGATCGCTTCTCCGAATGAAGAGAGAAGCGATCTACAAACGCTTTGAACGCTGGAAAAAGGATGCTGCTACTATAATCTCGCGAGATTACAGTAAGAGATCAGTGAAACACCATTTACTAAGCAGCAGTAAATTATTGCTGCTTCGTTTGCGGTTCCCCCGATTCTCCACCTCTGGGCTGGAGAGTCTGGAGGGAGAACACAGATCACCAGTGAAGGGCTGAATTGGCTTCTTCATATACTGGTCATCTGTGTGCTGAGATGATGAGCGGGGAACATGTTATCCACTGATCATCTCTGTTTCCTAAACCACTAATGATCTGAGATTAGCAACAATCCTTAGGATCACCGCTGATCTCTGTTTCATAAAAGGACACCAGAATTTATAGTAAGTTTGTTACATATGTATTCAAGAATGTAAGACAATTTGCAACTTTAGGAATGCACCAAGAAATGGATTTCTAGCAACTCACCGCAAAACATTAGTTCTTGCCATGCATTGAGATGCAATGCTTATCAGTTGACAAGGTGCATTGCTGCATATTAATACAACACGGTAGTGTGAACGGGCCCTTTAAATCTGTTACTAAACTGAACCAGTGGACACCAGCAGAACACATCAGTGAGCAACAGTACCATCATTACAGGTTTGTGGGAGACGATGAAGAAAAACTACAGAATGCTAGTCAGGGGGTGAGGAGGCATATTAGAAGCCAGCAGGTGAATAAACTCCTGTTCCACGTTACTAGCAAAACCTGAAATGGCAATTTTGGGTAAAAATGGAAATAAAATAGAATTTGAATTTCAGCTGCATGTACTACACATGGCTTAAAAAACTCAGTGTTGACTTTTTCCTCTAAACAAAACATAAATATCCCAGTGTGTGCAGCAAAGTCATTTTTAGAACACAATTACCAAGATGAACGGGTTATGAAGTGTTTCTCAAACATTTCTCTTGAGATTTCCATTAGTGCCTGTGAACAGTCTAATATATGATAGATCTAAAAATTGCTCTGCTGGGCAGGAGTAAATCAAATACTCCACTGCATGTTAGTTACAAGCAAGTCTGTGAGCACAGAAAGGAAACAGTCTATTAATATACTGCAGGTTTACCATGAAATTACCATTTCAATCAATTCAAATAACAGAAGATGGAAATTGGGAAAGAGGCGGCCAAAGATCAGAATTTTCTTTTGCCTGCCAATTAGGTGGACACGGTTGGCATTTTGAAGTCAATTAAATCTGTACAACTTGGGTAATATGTAAGATTTACAAAGTAAAATTACTAGCATCATACTATATATGAGAAGCCAACTTGCACCACAGTACAGGGAGGCTGGATTCACACTTTAGCGTAGCAGATTTAAGCGGTTTTTGCCAGAAAGGAAAGTTAACACTTTCTCAAAGTGCCATTGTATTTTAAGCCCTAGTCACACTCACACATTTTCCTTTGTGCGCTTTGTGTGTATTTTTGGGCGACGCACACATAGGGTGGCCTATTCACTTGAATGTGCTGCCCTGTGTGTGACAAACACACCAAAGAAGCATTGAGCTTGCGTTTTTACGTGTTTTCATACAGCGTTTTCCAGGCTTTTTTTATTCGTCACTAGAGAAAAGTATCATTCGTTGATTCAATTGTTGTTAGGTTTTCCAGCTTTTTAAGCTTTTCCATCAACTTTTATTTTTTTTTAATTAATTTATTATCTTTTTTTTGTTAGGGTAATGGGTAGAGTTAAGATTAGGATAAGGGTTAGGGATTAATATTTTATTTACTGTCTTCATTTTATTTATTTATTTTTTGGTTAGGGAGTTAATAATAATACGAAGAAATTATTAAATAAGTGTAAAATAAAATATAAATAATCATAAATAAAATAAATGAATATTATATCATAATAAATAATAATTAACCCCTAATTAACCCATTCACCCCCTGTCCTAAAAAAATATAAATTAATCATAAAATAATAATAAACACCCTAACACAAAATAAATAATAATAATAATAATAAATAGTATTACTATATTATTATTGTTATTAATTTTTTTGCTCAGATTTGGGTGTTTATTATTTATTTTTATTATGATTATTAATCTTTTTGTTTTAGGGTTAAGGGACTAAGGATAGGAGCTAATTATTTATTTTTTACATATTAATTTTATTGATTTATTATATATTTATGATTATTTTTATTTGTGTATTTTATATTTATTTACTCATATATTATTACAATTTTTATTTTTTTTTAGGGTTAGGAGGCTAAAGGTTAGGAGCTAATTATTATGTATTTTTTACATATTACTAATTTTATTGATTTATGATATATTTATAATTATTTTATTTATTTGTGTATTTATCTTACATTTATTTACTCATATTATTACAATTTTCTTTTTAGGGCTAGGGGGCTAAGGTTAGCAGCTAATTATTATTTTTTACATATTACTAATTTTATTGATTATATATTTCTGATTATTTTTATTTGTGTATTTATTTAACATTTATTTACTCATATATTATTACAATTTTTATTTTTTTCATTTTTACTTTTTATTTTATATTTTTAGGGTTAGGGGGCTAAGGTTAGGAGCTAATTGTTATTTATTTTTTACATATATTACTAATTTTATTGATTTATGATATATTTATGATTTTATTTATTTGTGTATTTATTTTACATTTATTTACTCATATATTATTACAATTGTTTTTTACATCTTTTTAATTTGAGCAGAAAAATGTGTGAATATGCGCAAAAATGCGCACACTGTTTACATTAATTTCTATAGAACTAAAAATGTTTTAAAAAGTACATATCTGCCCAATAGATTGTAAGCTCCAAGGAGCAGGGCCCTCCTATCCCTCTTGTATTGAACTGTATTGTTGCTGTACTGTCTTCCATTATATTGTAAAGCGCTGAGCAAATTATTGGCGCTATATAAATCCTGTAAAATAAGAAGAAGAATTTGAGCGACAACAAAAATTCCAGAACTTGTTTGAGCTTCAGGTGACTTGGAGTGCAGATGTGAATCATCTCCATTGAGAAAAATTGATTTTTTTTCCTCCTCAAGCGTTTTGGAGCTTGGAGCTCCAAATTGCTGAAGTGTGAATGGAGCCTAAAAGGCTTGCAGCTGTTGCCTTACAATGGTAATGCATCTGACCTCTACTCACCTAGAGAGAGGGAAATAGCCTCTATTTAGGCGTTATGCTGTCCTAAGCACACCTGAAATAGGGTCACTTTTGAACAAAACCCTTATATTGGGATTAGTTTAGTAAAAAAAAAAACAAAAACAAAAAAAAAAAAAACAGAGAGGAGAGATAGATTCATGTTTTTTTTTTAGTTCTAGTCTCCTGACTCCTCTCAGCATCCCCTGCACCCCCCTTACAATTCTCTTTCTAAATTTAGCCACAAAAATCTGAAGGTGGCAAGGAGGAGGACACAAAATAAGGGAAATGCAATCATGATTTGTACATTGTGAGGCTTGGTGCTGCTTGCTGTAACTTGCCTCAAGTGCCTCATGGTAAATATAGACCCAATAATCACATAAAATCAGAGTAGCTTTTCCATGCAGTTTGCATTGTAGTATAAATTATGTTCTGGTAGGTACATAACCACCTAAAAGCAATTTCAACAGTCCAATTGAGAGCGTAGTCTAGTCAAAGAAAACAAAGAAAATCACGCTGTTAAAGGCAAGCTCCATAATAATGAACTGTGGCTTGTTTCAGGACATGTTTCACCAAAACCTGTGCATTCTGCTCCACTAGACAACTTCTATTAAAATATAACTTTTATGTTCTCATCTTTAAAACAAAAGAAAAGAATCCATTGGCTTTATTTATGATGTGAAGTTTGATAAACTCTCTCGCCCCCACTAGCTTAAAGTACCAATAGTCAGCTAATTATTTTCCCTCTTCTCTCTCCAACTATGGTGTCCTTTTATCAAGCAGTGGTAAATGACCGCTGCTCAGTTCTCCGGCATTCTCAGAGGATCAATTCTCCTCTGAATGCTTTTTTATGAAGCGGTGTAGATCACTTCTCCGAATGAAGAGAGAAGTGATCTACAAACGCTGGAAAACGGCTGCTGTTATTATAATCTCACA